TCACCCAGGTCTTGATATGCTAAATCTTGTACCAAAAATAAGGAAGGAGCTTACCCATATTTTGATGAATAGGATCTGGGCACACCCAAAACTCCTTTTGACCTTAAACTCCCCTTTGGAAGCCAATAAATATGCTGTGTTGTCAGAGAGATGGCACCCACCTAGCTCCCAGCTTTATGAATCTATTCATAAAGCTGGGATATTTCTGCCTCTTGTCTTTTTCTTTCTCTAATTTCTTAATCCCCAGCTCCTCCCTTCAGGAACCTGTCGTTTTTCTGTGTGTGACGCGGAAAAAGGAGAAACACCACACATGGTGTGAAGTACCTTGGCAGGTTAGAATATGTGTCCCAGAATGATTTCATTTTGAATCCCGTTTAGTCTGGTTAAGTTCAAGGATAGGATTTCAGAGCTGAAATTCTGATACTTGTTCTAATATAACCTCAGATGGAGAAATAAATAGAAATGCCACAGATGATTATGATGAAGTTCATTATATTTTGGTTGATGATTTCTTTCTGTTCTTTGACTTTAATTCTGATTCACTGTGGTTAGGCTTTGAGGCTCTGTGCTGAGTTTTGTTCTTTCTCTCTCTTTACTCCCAATTCCACTTCCACTCGCCCTCCTCCGCACCAAACCATAATTTTAGGAACTAATGCTAAGTGACGTAGGGAGTCAGAGTTTAGAGTAGGAAGCACTGTGTTGTAATATTTCAAGTTTGTGTCTTTTAATTTTTTAATTATGCTTAAGATTAGCAGAAATTTCAAAAATTGTTAATAAGAAAATGAACAGAAAATTCACGGAATATAAAATATAAATTGCTTCATTTAACAAAAAACAACAGATCTACCTTTTTAGTAAAAAATGCCATTAAAACCCCAATGAGATACTATTTTTCACCTATCAGATTGGCAGTGATCATTTTTTTCAAAGCACTAGGAAAGGTATGAGGAAACACGTTAGTAGTGGGAATATGAGTGGGCAGAGCTTCCAGAAGGATCAGTTTGGCAATAACTATCACAAATAAAAAAGCACTTACCCTTTGGCCCAGCCACTCCACATCGAGCTGTTCCCACCAGTGTGCTTGCATTGGGTACACAAACGTCAGGACAGCTAAGCATGTTCACTTCAGCATCCCTGCGGCCTCCAGGACCGGAACTGACCTGGATGCCTGTCCAGAGGGCCAATCACATTCGGTGCAGTGTTTGCACAACGGAGAATACATGCAGCTCTTTAAGAACGAAGCAAACTCTTATAGAACGATCACAGACTACACAGAAAGCCACTGCTTGCTGTTAAAAGAGCAGCGTTTGCCCTAATCGGTTTAGCTCAGTGGATAGAGCGTTGGCCTGTGGACTGAAAGGTCCCAGGTTCGATTCCGGTCAAGGGCATGTACCTTGGTTGCAGGCACATCCTCGGTGGGAGGTGTGCAGGAGGCAGCTGATCGATGTTTCTCTCCCGTCGATGTTTCTGACTCTCTAACTCTCTCCCTTCCTCTCTGTAAAAAATCAATAAAAATATATTTTTTTTAAAAACGGCATTATGTGTGCCAGTAGATAACATCAAAGACCATGTCTGCACGGAGGTGGCAGGAGCTCTGGGGCTGCCTCTGGGGGGAGAGCTTGGGAGGAGACTTACATTCCACTCCGTACCCTCTGGGACTGACATGTGGCAAGGACACGCCTTCAGTCATCTTGAAATCTCTTCCCACTTCTCAGAGAGGGCATCAGGGTGGCTCCCCAGCCCTGACGAGCCTTCACCCATTGTGGGTGGAAGTGGGCGTTCACACAGGCTGTTCAGAAGGCAGGGATGGGTCGGTGCCTTTCTGATAACAAGATGCTTACCTTTCAGCCAGCAGTCCAAGCCCACAGACAATGCTTCCCGCGCGCACGGAGATAGCAATGCAGGAGTCCTTGTGTGTCCAGGTGAACCCGGAGGATAAGTGCCGGTTCCTCCTCGGGTTTGTTTGCTTTCTGAGAAATCTCAGCGGCTTTGTGGTTCCTGTGACTTTGGCGAATGGATCCCTTCTTCCCGTTTGGAAATGGCCCAGTGGTCTTACGGTTCCGTTCTTCGGACCAGATTGCATCTCATTGACACGATGGGCTCGAGGCCATCTCCGTTATTGGCGGTGCCCTGCCTCTGAGAGTCCCAGGGACAGAGAAGTGAGAACAGTCCACTGTTTGTTCCCTGTTGAAGAAGCACCAACGTTGTGGCCAGGCGGGGGGCGTCCCACTAAATAGCACAGACCTGGTCGTGGCGTGCCAGCATCCTGGCGTTCCTTTTCCGTACCATGGCAGCCACGCCCAGGGCGCGGTGGTGTCCCGTTTCTAGAGCTCCTTCCTCTTCTGTCTCCTCCTTTCGTGCTAGTTTCCATGGCATTTTCCCACTCCCGACGATGAGGAGGGAAATGCCCAGGGGATCGGGCCGTCCGCTGGAGTCGTGGGCCCACGGATGGACCCTAATGGCCTCGGCTCTCCTTTGCTTCTTTTTATTGATACACAGTGGGCACCGTGTGGGCGGGCCGGGGAGCGGTACAGCCGCAGCTGTCAGAGAAGATGGGCCGCAGACCGTGCCCATGCCCCGCGAGGGTGGGAACCCGGGAGGCACAGGTCCCAGAGCCCCATCCGTGCCGCTGCCCTGAACTCACCTCCCACGTTCCGGGGGCGGGCGCCTCCCGGCCAGTGACCTACACCTGCCGGACCTGAACTTGACCTCCTCTCCCTCTCCCTGTTCTTACTGCATGCCTTGGCGTCGTTAGCTCTTTGTTCTGAATGAGCAAAGCCAGTGTCCCTGTCTCACTCCTGACAAGTGACCTTTTATGTCTAAGCCAGGAAGCGTGTGCTGCAGGACAGCCCGCCAGCTCCCGGGACGGGAGCGGAGAGCCTGGACTCCCCAGCGGGCCAGGGCTTCTTCGCTGCCCGTCCTGCGCGTCCACACTGAGGGGAGCCCCTGTGCTGGTTCCGAGTGACACACACCAATGGACGTTTTCCGGGCGGCAGTGATTCCTTGTCCCCATCGGAACGACGCACCACAGTTTTGGAAACTCGCATGAAAGCAGGGCAGTAGGGTGCCGATCTTCGCTCTGTAAGCATTGCCGTGGGTGTATTTAAATGGGACTAGATGGGCCAGTCGGGGAGTTGCTTTCGCTCCCGGGGGCCCGGGTCCTGCAGCGGGGACGGCTCTCCATGGAGGTGTTTCCTGAAACCCTCTACGCTGCTGCTGAGAGACAAGGTGCTCCTCCCTCTGAGCGTGGCGTGTGATGACAGTGACATCTCAGAACAGATGCTCCAGCGACCTCCACGTGCTTGTATTTGGTGGCACAGTCTCTGTTCTTCATGAAACAGTCTGTTAAGAAATTAGTTCCCCCACGTGGGGGGCGGGAAGGGGGAGATGTGTTCTGTCCATTGATTTCGCATCTGGCAGGGAGCTGGGTCCTGACGCCTGGAGGGTCCCCAAGGTTGATGGACGTTGCTGGGACGTCCAGGCCGCAGCAGCCACGGAGAAGAGGGTGGCACGGGAGCTCAGCATCCCTCCCAGAGCGCCTCGCGTGGGCTCCCCTGAGAGGGCGTGGTCTTTTGCAGAAGAGGAGGGTCTCGGGGCAAGGTCCTAGAACGTTAGTCTTGTAAACGGTGGGGCGAGAAGGTGGGCGTTCGTGTCAGCCGGTTGTTCTCCTCGTAAAGTCCACCCGTTAGAGGCAGGCGTGATGTCAGACTCCCACCAAAGCGAAAACTTCCGTTCTCGGGTAAACAGGGTCGGCTTGGTTCGTGGTCTCAAGGGCCTTACAAGAGACCTCGGCAGAACTGTTCGGGGGTGTTGGCCTGTAGGCCTGGTCGTCTTCACTTCTGACGTCTGCCTGCTTGTCCCCGCCATCATCTGTCCTGGGCACTGCTTCCAAGTGACGGAGCAGCAAAGAGTGCGGCCGGACCTCCTGCCTGTGTTTGTAAATAGCGTTTGACCCGGTGCGCAGCGGGTCTGACCTGTTTACGTATGGCCAGCGGCAGCTTCGGGAGCTAACCGAACAGAGCCACTGGGACAGAGACTACGTCTCCCACAAAACCTAAACTATTTACAGAGGAAGTTTGCCAGCCCCCTGCACAGTAAAAGTCACCGACAGCCCAGCCCGTGTGGCTCAGAGCTTCCACCTAAGAACCAGGAGGTCACGGTTTGGTTCCCGGTCAGGGCACATGCTCGCGTTGTGGTCTCGATCCCCAGTCAGGGGCGTGTAGGAGGCAGCCGATCGATGATTCTCTCTCATCATGGATGTTTCCATCTCTCTTCTTCTCCCTTCCTCTCTGAAATCAATTTAAAAAAATATATATTTTTTAAATAGAATGAAGGAAGCCACTTGCTGCAGGTGCCAAGTGGCTTGTTCATTAGAAGGAGGCGCAGCCCCTGCACCCCGCCAGCCTCCCTGTGCACAGGCTTCGTGCCCACCCCCAGCGGATCCCCGGTTACTGCAACGGGGGGGGGGAGGGGGGGGGGGTCCCCACATCGCCCGCGTGGGGCTGAGACCGAGGAAACCTGTGAGAGCTGAGGGGCCACAGGATGGGGCGGTGCGACCTGTGAATTTTTGGAATACTCATCTAAAAAAATTAGCCCCCTGGGCCGCTCGGCCTTGGTTTTAGCATATAATGTGCCTGGGTTATCACCCCGAGAGGACTACACGTCTTCCCGTGGCAGGCAAAGTGAGCGACACAGAGCAAGTTTTTACCAGGAGGCCAGATTGGTTACAAGGGAGCATCCGTTCAGTTTGACGTCGGTCCTCTGGTAACCAACTCTGAGTTGTAAGCAAAGAAGAAAGTGCATGTCTGTGCTCGTTCTTAAGCTGGTGTTTAAGAAAACCTGCCATGGTCTTGTTGTTGTTGTTGTTGTTGTTTTTATGGTAATGATCAGAAGCCTTAGACAAGAAGAGTGGGAGTGGGGAAGGGGGATGCCATCGCTCCAGGGACAGCAGCCCCCCGTCACCATCATCTCACCTCTCTTCTGTTTACCGTGTGTTTCAGGCCAGTTCAAGCTGCTGGAACAAGACCGGGACATAAAGGAGCCCGTGCAGTATTTCAACAGCGTGGAGGAGGTGGCCAAGGCCTTCCCTGAGCGCGTGTACGTCATGGAGGAGATCACGTTCAACGTGAAGGTAGCTCTGGAAGAACCCGATATTTATCCTCCCTGGAGCAGCTCAGCTCTCAGGCCATTGTGTGCCCATCGGGGCCTCGCAGGAAAAGGCCGTCTCCCTGTGCGGGGCCCCTGTCCTCTGAGGAGTCAGTGGCCAACACTGGTCTCTTAAGCACTGCGTTTGCTGTAGCTGACCAGATGCCCAGACGGGTAACGACGCTTCATTAGCCCTGTCTTTTGCTAAACTGTCAAGGCAGATCAAAAGTGGTCTTTCTCTCGTTTGGACTGTATTCCCCAATGTGTAGTAGTTGTTTGGCCAGATCTCCTCTAAGGCTGATGCTCCACTTGTAGGAGCTGGTAAAAGGCATAGGAAGACCCCGGCCAGCCTGGCTCAGTGGTTGAGCGTTGAGCTATGAACCAGACGGTCACAGTTTGATTCCCAGTCAGGGCACAGGCCCTGGTTGTGGGCTCGATCCCCAGGGAGGGGTGTGCAGGAGGCAGCCGAGTGATTCTCTCTCATTGATATGTTTCTCTGTCTCTCTTTCTCTCTGATTTCAATAACAATATTTTTGTAAAAGAATCGTGAAAGACCTACTACCATTCACTTATTTAAAGAGAGAGACTTCATAGCACAGCCTGGGATTGGCATATGTCCTTCCATTTTTCAGAGACCGCCTGTATCAGGACACACAGGGGGGATTAGTGTATAGGATGTTGCCAGCGGGAATTGACTGGTCCTTGCTCATCAGAGAAAAGCTAAGTGGTGTTTACTGCTCTGCGTTCATTTTGCATTTGGAAAAGGACTAACCAGAGAAGCCATGTCAGCAATGAGGTCCTACCAAATTACTACAGATCCTCTGCCTTTTCCTTAGCAGCATGGCATTCAGTGACACTAAGACATCTTAGACAGTGTTCACACCCCCAAGAGTTTCTGTTGGACCCCATTTCAGCGATAAAGTCTGACTGAGTCTCATCCTTTGAACATGTCGAGGTTTAGAGGGCAAGATGTGTTTTTCTTAGCAATTCGCTGCCTGTGACAGACAGGCTGCATGCACGGGATCTTAGCCCAAAAACACAGCGGTGTCTTCGAGGGTGAATCACGCCATCCTCGCTTATCAGGAAAGAGGGAAGAGCTCAAGACAGCCTCCTTTGTGTGGGCGCGGTTCTGTCCATTTTGTTGACTAAGCCAAGCCATTCTCTCTCCCAGCTCTAAAACACAGCGGCTGTGGTCTGCTTTCTCTACTTGTATTATTAACACCACTGAGATTTTGCGTGGCCCAGTCAACTTGTATTCAAGACATTTGTATTCATATACATCGAAGATCTGTGAGAACACATTCATTTTTAATCTTACCAAGAGTTGGCCAGAAGTTAATCAAATCCTATTCCATTCGTGCCTTGATATGATTTAAATGTCCCCTTAGAACTTACACTTAGAATTACCTAAATGGGAAAGAAAATCATTTAGAAAGAAAAGCTAGTAATTTTAAACCCTTTTCTGAAAACATTTCATGGATTTTAAAGTGAAATATTTAGAATTGAAACATGAGCCTGGCCAGCGTGGCTCAGTGGTTGAGCATCTATCTATGGACCAAAGCCTAAAATGACTACTATCACCCTAACCGGTTTGGCTCAATGTATGGAGCATCGGCCTTCGGACTGAAAGGTCCCAGGTTCGATTCTGGTCAAGGGCATGTACCTTGGTTGCAGACACATCCCCAGTAGAGAGTGTGCAGGAGGCAACTGATCGATGTTTCTCTCTCATTGATGTTTCTAACTCTCTATTCCTCTCCCTTCCTCTCTATAAAAAAATCAATAAAATATATTTTAAAATAAACAAATAAAATACCTACTATCTGGCCCTGTATGAAAACGTTTGCCCACCTCTGATATAGAGCATAAAACCATCCTAAGTCAGTCTCCCGTTCTCAAAAAATTCCCCACTTTCTCTCTACGTAGTGCTTTATAGCCAGCGTCTTCGTATGAAGAATAGTGTATCTGTTCCTTGCTGTTATGGTTTCAGAAATACCCCTCTACCTCAAGTGGAGACTTCTTACACCAGGACGAAGTGAATTATTTCACATGTCTTCCAGCCTTTTTCAAACTCAGCCCGGCCATGATGAGACACTTCCCCACCCGTCTTTTCCTGCCATCAGAATGATGGCTAACAAATGAAGTCTTCATTTAAGCTTCCTTTTTGGTGACATTGGTAGAGAGGGGGCGGGGAGAGTGGCCTGTGGGTCCATGCTGGACTTCGTGCAGCTTTCTGGAATTGGTGAGTGGCACTGACTCCACTGCGGGCGCCCCAGACCTTCTGCATGACAGTGACGGCTCTCAAACCCGGGGAACCCCAACACCCTGATCTGGATGCGACCACGTTGCTCTTTCCAATGCAGCTCCTGAGGCCCCCGCTTGCCGCTGTTCCGGCAGCGATAGCTCCCCAGGGGCACAGGAGCGAATTTGCACGGTCTCCGCGGGGGGAGAGGTCCCCCTCCAGCCAGCACAGGCCTCTTGGGAAACATTCCCACGTGGCCTGGGCCGGGCTCTGAGTTGACAGCCCTGTCACCTGCGTCTCAGTCCCCGATTCCCGGCTTTGGCACCTGCTTTTGGCGGGGGTGTCAGTGCCCAGCAGCAGAGCTGCCCTCGTGTGGCATGAGCGGTGAGGGTGTCAGGCTTGTCTTTGTTAATAGGAAAAGCATCATACAGGATTCAGACAGCATCCATGATAGCTGGGCTTCTCAACCCTGAGACACGTGATCAAGAGTAAAGTGATAAGCCCAGTCGGCGTGGCTCAGAGCTCAGCATCGACCTGTGAACCAGGAGGTCACGGTGTGATTCCCCAACAGAGCACATGCCCAGGTTTCGGTCTCCATCCCCAGGATGGGGCGTGTAGGAAGCAGCTGATCAGCCAATCCATGATTCTCTCTCATCATTGATGTCTCTATCCTTCTCTCCTTCTCCCTTCCTCTCTGAAATCAATAAAAATATTTTTAAAGAGTAAAATGATAACATATCAATAATCAGCAGGGTGGAAGTTTACAGACATTGAGTGTTTATAATCATTAAATTGGAGGCCTTCCTAGTTCCCTCGTCCTACTTCTTTTGACAAACATGAACACCAGGAAACAGATGTTAGCTGGCTTCACTGAGTCACAAGAAGCCACAAAGCTACTTAGCAGCCCAACCAGGTCGTCTGACTCCATCCAGCCCCCTCTCCTCTCCCTCCCTGTGGGTTTGTAATAAGGCTTGGGATTGGGACCAGAACACCCTTTCTCGTTGACACAAGAGCTTGCACACCTACTTTGTTGTCCACCTAAGTAAATGTTTTCAATCACTGTTACCTAGCCAGATCCTTGTTTTGGTATTTCTGATACACAGGAGTTGGCGGCTTTTATGACTGTTAAACGTGCAGATTTGTACACCTTATTTCATACCCGAGTATCATACCAATATTTTAAAAATAAGATCCTACAAGTTAACTTGATAACAAGTTTCGTCCCTATTGGCATCAGTGTAGTTTCTGATTAGATGAACTTGTGTCAGAATGAACCCCTTCAAAAATACTGCTATAAAACATTCACCTGGAATATTAACCAGTATTCACAGAGAAACTAGACTGGAGGTGGGTTCTCGCATGGTTAAAGAGATGCTGAAGGGGCGGGCATGTGTTACTGAAAACAGCCGAAGTTCTAAAGTAGAATAGAATTCATGATGCTGAGTTGGGGGACTTTTTCCCCAAGGCGCCCCAGTTACTGGGAACCAGCCTCCTCCCCACCCCCCAGCTGTGGACTTGAGGCCATCCGTGTGCCTTTTCACTTAACACCTTCGTTCCCCTTCAGAGCTGAAGGAATCACGCTCTTTCCCCTCCCTCCGGCCAACTAGTCAGACTGTGTCCTGTTTCCCTACCAATAGCAGTTAACAAATTAAACATATGTCCCATTTCTTGACTCCTTTCCACAGAGCAAGCATCAGACGAGGCCTTGAAAACACATTACTGGAGAGGCCTCCATCGGCTTGTGGTTCTGCTCTTGTCACGGTTTTGCTCTCTGCCGCCGCCTCTCTGGTCCTGTTTGTCTTCCAAAGGCAAACACAGCTCCCCGCAGCCTCTTCTCTGCGGCCACCGGCCATAGCCCTGTAAAGTAATACAGAAGGATGGTGCTGGCCTTGACCAGTTTGGCTCAGTGGTAGAGCGTCAGCCTGTGGACTCAAGGGTCCCAGGTTCGATTCCGGTCAAGGGCATGTGCCTTGGTTGCGGGCACATCCCCAGTAGGAGATGTGCAGGAAGCAGCTGATCAATGTTTCTCTCTTATCAATGTTTCTAACTCTCTCTCCTCTCCCTTCATCTGTAAAAAAAAAATCAATAAAATATATATATTTTTTTAGAAAAAAGAATGGTGCTGAAGCATGGATTGCTCTCTGGGGATTTGTTTTGTTGTTTTAAGAGTATAGTCATAACCATTCGTCCTAGTTTAAAATCTGTCCCACGACGTTCATGAAAGGACCCTCCTGGTGGAGGGAGGTTATCCTGAGGCCCGAGAGGCGGGGTCCCTGGGAGTTTGGAAAGGTCCAGGCCGGTTCGCTCCACATCCTCTGCCGCTCCTGGAGCCTTGGAGCCTGAGTCATTCCGGACCGCCAGCTCGGGGGTGGCTGTAAATCGGAACAAAAACCCCGTCCAAAGTGACTGTCATTTCCGTTCAGGTCCTTAAAACGGACTGCAACTCTCTGCCATCTTGGAGAGAAGTATTTGAACCTCGTGTGAACCTTCTTCTCGCCTCCTGAGACTCTGCCTTTCCGCGGGCCGTGTCCTGCGGCCTCGTTGGAATGTTTTTGGTGGTTGCCTCTGGTGTTTGTTGGGATACTTGCCTCGGCCGTCTGTGTTTCTAGTTTTAATTTTTACTCCCATCCCACCGTGGGCTGGAAGCTAGCCACCACGTGGACAGAATTGTGATGAGATGAGGAGCAAGCAAGCTGAGCGAGGCGGTCCTTCAGGGTTTTTCCCCTGAGCCCGCAGCCCCCGCTCAG